AGTCTCTCACGGCGAGCCGCCAGGCAGGGGCCCGGCCCATCTCTAGTTCCTCACGACAGGTTTGATCGATCTGCCCAAGCCACAACCTTCTCGGTCGTCCCACAGGCCTCCTCCACCCAGGGTTGTCTCGGACAGAGACAACCTGATGGGCAGGATCATCCTGCGGGAATCGAGCCAAGTGGCCATATAGCCTGAGTTGGCAATCACGGATTGTGCAAGTAACAGGTCCTGTATCGGTCTCACGGTGTAGCTGTTGGTTGGACACATGGTCCCGCCAACTGTACCCCATGATCCACAGTGACTTTGGACAGTAGCTCTACCCAGTATCCAATCCATGCAAGTGTTGAAAAGTGTTGGTGCAAGAACACAGCCTTGCCTCATGCCTGAACTAACAGGAAAGAAGCTCGACAGGCCCCCACCACACTTTGCAGCACTTTCAGTGAATGTATACAAGTTTGCTATTAGCCCAACAATCCTTGTTGGAATTCCTCTCAGTCTCAGGATCTCCCAGAGTGAAACGCCTTCTTGAGGTCGATGTAGGCTGCGAGCAGCCCACGTCCGAACTCACGACGGCGCTCTACAATGATTCGAAGCGCCGGGATGCGGTCTATTGTGGACTTACCAGGAGTGAACCCAGATTGCTCCGGTCTTTGGTGCCTCAGGAGGTGGTCTCTGATACGTCTCAGTAAGATGTACCTTGCCTGGTACGCTGAGCAGTGTAATGCCTCGGTGATTGCTGCAGTCCCACCGATCCCCTTTCCCCTTCCAGAGAGGGATGACCACACCCCTCAGCAGGTCAGGGGGAATGGTACTGGTTTGCCAGATGGCAGACAGGACTGCATGCAAGCCCCTTGCCATAGGTTCTCCACCAGCCTTTAACAATTCAGCTGGGATGCCACAAACACCTGCTGCTTTACCACTCTTCAGCTTGGAGATCGCCCCCTTGACTTCAGTCAGGGAGGGTGGATCCTCGCTGATGGGTGGGTCTGGCAGAGGAGTCTCAACATTACCAGCATCCAAGTTAACTGTTGGTGGATCAACCTGATACAGCTGCTCAAAATACTCAGCCCAACGCACACGCACCCCATCAGGATCTGAGATTACCTGGCCATTTGCTCAGCGGACTGCCGTCGTCTGTGAGGAGGGTTTGGAGTTCAGCTTTCTCAGAGCTTGGTAGGCAGGACGAAGGTCACTTACCAGGAAATGGCTTTCGACCTCCTCTGCAAGATTACTGATAAACTGTTCCTTATCCCTTCTCAACAGTGACCTAGTCCTGCGCGCCAGAGAACAGTGCAAATTGCGATCCCCTGACAATCGAGCCGCACGACAAGCTTCTGTGGCTTCCAGTGTCTCCTGCGAGATGGAATTCTGTCTTGCTCTTGGGCGTACACCAATGGATTCCTGAGCTGCATCAAGCGTTTCACGCTTGAAGGAATCCCACATAACAACAGGGTCTGTCCAGGCCCTCGAGTGCTGTGAGACGACCAGAGATAGCCTCAGTAAACCCCCGGGCACACTCATCCTCCCTCAGTCTGTCCAGATGAAACACCCTGGGGTGTTCATTTGGTCGACGGGGGGTTCTAAAATGACTATGTTGATAAGCTTTCATTTACCTTCAAAATTAATATCATGGATACTTGAATTAATATTCATGTTGTAGATCGTGTGTATGTTATTTATGTTATATTTTACGTAATATTACAAAGAAATATATATTGCAATTTCGCTGATTGCAGAGATGAAGTAGTAAGATATATAAAAAATATCATGGATGCCTCAATTAGTCTCGATTCAAAAACGTTTTTTTTTCAGTGTAAATTGAATTTGAAACAACAAAGCAAATAATTTCAGTTGATTTTTTTTATTTTTTTACGTTTGTTTCTCTAAATAACAAATTTCCTTTTTTCAATCAAGAAACACGTTACGTTACGTCAGTAATACTTATAAAGCTAATTATGATGGTAATATGCTGTGGATCCCTTCCCCCAATATTCGCAAATTATTGCCCTTATTGTGATGATAATGATAATAATGATAATGATAATAATGAAAACAACAACTACAACAAAAATAACAATAATAGTTATTATCATTATTATTAATATTATTAATATTATTAATGTTGTTAATATTGTTAATATTATTAATATTATTAATATTGTTAATATTGTCAATACTATTAATATTGATATTATTAATATTACTATTGTTGTTGTTCTTGTTGTTTTTTTTGTTTTGTTTTGTTTTTGTTTGTTTTTGTTTTGTTATGATTATTATCATTGTTATCATTGTTATCATGGTCATTATTATTATTATCATTATTATTATTATTATTATTATTATTATTATTATTATTATTATTTATTATTATTATTATTATTATTATTATTATTATTATTATTATTATTATTATTATTATTATTGTTATTATCATTATTATTATTATTATTATTATTATTATTATCATTACTATTATCATTATTATCAATATTATTACTATTATTATTATTATTATTATTATCATCATTATCATTATTATTATTATAACAATAATAACATTAATAATAATAAGGAAAATAACAATGATCCAAGATACCAACATGGAAGATCATAATACTGATATCTTCAACAAAAACAATAACGACAACTGTAGTGATCTGTCGCCTCCGCTTCCTGCTCTCCGGTCTCGCCCCTTTGTCAGACCGCATAAGATTTCGTACCATCACCCCCTTGGCTGTGACAGAACCAACTATAGATGGCGCAGAAGGCGACGCTGCAAAGGACCCTCCTGCAAGAGACGCTGACGAGCGAACGGGGATGCCTTGGACGAGATGCTACAGACCTTACTGAGGAGGAGGGTGGCATGATTTGTTAGGCAGACGTTTAGCCCTGAAACACTTATAATGGCGCTGGAAAATGCGTATTACTGAAATATGTGAACAAAAAACGGAGCACAGTTGTTTGGCGCTAGAACCTGGGTGGCTAGCCAGCCTGATTTTATTCCCTTTTATATTCAAAATCATGTGTACATTTTATGTTCCTTTCATTTATATAAAAAAAAAGTCATATATGTTTATCAAATACCTCCTGTGTAAATGTCAAATGAAAATGAGCAATCTCACAATAACTCAAACAGAAGATATAACGTCCCAAAGAGCAGACGACACTCTTAAGAACGAGTCTTACTGCGCAGACTCCGGATAAACGACCTTGTTCGCATAAAATGTTGGGTCCACGACCTCGTAAGGGAGTTGCGGACACCTTGGCTCAGTGATCGACGCTCGGTCTCTCCTTCAGGAAGCCGACGTTTTT